AAATTTACGTGCGGATTCCATGTGGGCAAACAGTGTTCCAAGACCAAAATCTGCAGTTGATTCCCATGGCCCTAGACAGCTGCTGACAATAGAGTTGTTGCCATTAGGGTTGATGCCTGCAAACAAACGTAACATTTACATTAATAATTCAACTTATGGAGGAAGATATGTTAAGAAATACTAGGTTATAGTATACACATATTTGAAGTTTTCCTGTGTACAGTCTTCGTTTTATTTGTCACTGCCACATTGAATATTAGTTAATTGTTTCAGACTGTTAAATCTCCGTAAAGTGCATCTAACCTTCTATTATTTTATTGGAAAGGATAGTTCCATTATGTTAGGTTATGTTGTTGTCATTGGAGGCTATCCCACCACCTTCATAGATCATACCATCAACAGTGGCTGTGTGAACTGATGTGATAGAGCACAAATATTATTCTATATATATGTGTGTGTGTGTGTGTGTGTGTGAAATTGTGTATGGTGATATGTGTGTAAAAGATATACAATTATAGGTCATTTATGAGGCAAATATGGAACTTTATTAAGGTAATTCTTATGTATGTGAACTAACAACAAATTCAATGTGATTTTATGGTTTAAAATCAATAACTGCTGAACTATTTATTATAGCTAGTGATACGGAGTTTTGAACAGAAATTTATAACAAATTTGTCGCTATAAATGTTGCATGGTTCATTGTAAGTAAAAAAATTAGAAAATTGGTATTAGTATGAAACACGGGGTCCGCAGTGGCTGCGCATTCTGAGGAGTGGGCCTTGTGCCGCTTGGTCGCCAGGACCATGGGTTCGAATCCCACTCAAGCCATGGATGTTTGTCCACGTTTTTCTGTGTTGTGCTGTCCTGTGTACAGGTCGAGGCCTTGCGACAGGCCAATCCCTCGTCCAAGGAGTCCTACCGAAAGTCTATAGATCGAGCCAACGAAAAGTTGGGACCCGCAGTGCTCAGGCACTTCCCAGTATCCCAGTATGAAACACTGAGTTCTTGCAGTATTTCTTTTTTAAAAATTTAACTGAGTTAAGAGTGTGTTTTAACCAAGAGAATTTGATTAGGCAGATTTGCAAACTGGTAATTTTGTAAAAAAAAATCCAGTATTAATCTGAATGTAAAATTACCTAGAATGTCATCAAGAGTTCTTTCTTGCAGTAATACAAATGGAAGCAAATGTGGGATTGTTGTATTTGGTGCCTGTGGGTTAGTACATTCATTCATGCTCTTCAAGGTTGGGCGAAGTTTAGCCTCAAAGTTGAATGCACTGTCCGTAAACTTCTGGCGTAGAACGTGCCACGTTGCTGATAGCCTTTGAATCTGCAAGAATAAAGTTCATGCTGTTAATCTTGAAATAAGAACAGTCCCGATTTATTGACATTAATGAAAATATTAACTTTGATATTTTCAAATTGTTTAGTGATGAAATGTAGATGGCTAGGAATGCTGGTTGGAGGAATGTTTCATATTGAATGCAAAATAATTACAGCACAATTTTTTAAGTAATTTAGATATAACAGGAACATGTGCATGTAATTACCAAAGGTTAACTGAAAAGAGAATACTTGAAGGCAAAAGCAGAATCCAGCTTCTAAAATCTTGTAGTTTTTAAATGACGGACAAAGTCTGAAGAAACAATTTTAAATATTATAACACATCACTGTCATAAACCTTTGGACTTCAACAAAACAGGTTATATCTTCTTCTGCTTACCTGTGGCATACAAAGTCCCATCATCACTCCACAGAAGCCATAAAGGTTCCCCAAAGCTGTCTTGGTGTCTATTGCAACTTGAATCCACTTGTTAAGAGCTTCAGCACGATCTGCCTCCGTTGCACATGTTAGTATGGTTACTGCCACAAGTAGCTTCAGGCATTCCGTCCTGCCAGGAAAAGAGATACACAAATATAATGAGTGTTTCTACAGGGTTACAATAAAATAACTTTACTAGGACAATGAGTAAAACCTTCAATATTTCATGTGTGAATAATACTAGGCCACTCCTTACCCACTGTTTCTGTAAAATTCATATCCATCCACTGAACGCATTGATAGTGTGTAAATTAAACTTTCACGATTTTGTACTTCACTATAATTTTTCTTTTGCAGATTATTAATATCTTTTCTCAATTCATTAACTTGTGTTTCCACACAAGGGGCAAGAGGCGCTCAAAATGTTTGAATGTTTACAATTACTAGCACCAAGTTTCATTGGATAAAGATTTCTGTCTTCTGGGTTGTTGCGCTATGTCGTCTGGTCGATGTTCATCAGGTCGATGAATAATATTCATGATGGAGGCAGTATGACCTCTGAAACGTTGGTAAACATCGACCAGACTACACGGCGCAACAACCCAGAAGACAGAAATCTTCATACTCACCGCTGTGAAAACCTCAAATCTTACATTTTATTGGATAGTTTTTTATAACTTCACAAGTGTGTTGAAAATAAACATAAACTGACAAATACTATGCTGTTAGAAGACTAATAAGGATGAATTCAGTTCTGCAAAATATCTGATTTGATGAATTGTAAGCTGAAGTAAAGTAACTAAAAATTCTGGTGATTAAGTTCGTAGATCTAAGACGGAAATTAACCTCAGACTTACTGTGTTTTATTCACCTGAACTGTAAACATTTTACAGCATTTGGATTCTGATAGCAACAAATCACAAATTTATGACAACTTAAAACAAAGAATCTAAATTGGGGCATATGCCATAAATGAGATTAGTGCCACTGATTAAAGAAACACTTTGATGCACCTCCATAACATTGACATGTAAATAATAGTGATGTTGAGTTATATATTATATATGGTTCTGAAGAAGTGAAATTGAGGTTATATTAGTGAAAGTCTATTTTGTCCAATATTTCTAGGGCTGCTAAACTCCCAGAATTCTACAGTAAAACCACTTCACATTTTGATAATATGATAGTGATTATAAAATAGGTTATTTATATAAGAAGCTTTTCTCACCTTTCAATAAGATCAAGCCTTAGTTGGTGGCCATGCGGCAGTGTGCAAAGCTCAATGCCACAACTGATACCCAAACCCAGGTCTCCTTCCCAACATCCACTGGCTCTTGCACCACCACCAATTGTGAGCTCCAAGTCTACCCGGGTTAAGTGATTTGCTAGTATTCTTGGTCCTGTTTCCTGAAGCATCATCTTGATTCCCTGAAGTGCTGTGGCATCTAGTGGCTTGTTCTCCAGCGTTGGAAGCAGTAAAGTCTGGAAATTTTCTAAGTCAAAAGCAGACGGTGGCTCTGGGTCAGGGACTGAGAGTAACAGAAGCGAGTCTTCAGCAGCAGAATCATATTCAAGCGGTTTCAGAGTTGACGAGGAACATGAAGTGGCGAGCACTGAATTGCTCAGTTGACGAACATGCCCATGACAGTAGCGCGGATTTTTAATAACAACCCCACCTGAACGATGTTGGGATAATGTTGAAGTATTGATAGACTCGGTCGTATCCCCCGCTGCTGAACTCTGAGCTGAATCTCCAGAACCATTTCCAGAATCACTTCCAGAAGCATGATATGATGCTACTCTCTGGAAAGTGCCATGATGTCCTTGAGATAAAGAGGAAGGGTTAGGGTCACAACTAGCGCCAGTGGCCAGTATGCCACTTAGACGTCCACTCCCAGAACCATTATCCTGATGTGCACTATCACTATTGACCTTCTCTGGCAAGGGAGGAGCAGCATTACCACTGCTGTCTTTTGAGTTTGTGCGCATAATTGAGGGTATACGACTAGGTTTTGGAGGAGGTTGCTCTGGTAATAAACCAGAATCTCCTTCTAAGTCCTGAAGTTGTTGATTGTCACCCACGAAACCAAACCTTCGTCTTTCCAGGCACGGACTAAGAGCTGGGTCACTGGTGACACGCACCATTTTGCCGTTCTTTGTCGGCAAAGTTGCTGATCCAGATACCGGCGAATGTTGTTTGGCACAAGTCATT